AAGAGAGAAAAAAAAGGTTGATTTCTTCCGCCTGGGGGAGCACAAAGAGCATTTACAAAGTTTTCTTTTTTTTTGACACAAACATTTCTCCGCCCAAAAAAAAACACACCCACCCACGCGAACACCCCGCGGGAGAGAGAACACACACACACACACACACACACACACACACACACACACACACACACACACACACACACACACACACACACACACACACACACACACACACACACACACACACACACACACACACACACACACACACACACACACACACACACACACACACACACACACACACACACACACACACACACACACACACACACACACACACACACACACACACACACACACACACACACACACACACACACACACACACACAGAGTACGCTCCCTGCCTCCCTCTTGTCAGTCGTCACGCCCGCGCGACCTCGCCGAATCTGCTCAGGACCTGCTCACAGCTCTCGACGGCGTGGATGCTGCTAACGCCCCTGCCCGCCTGCCAGACCTCGTAATCCTCCTCAAAGGCGGCCCGCTTGTACGTCTCCATCGCGCGGCTCAGCATCAGCGTGCGGGTCAGCAGCTTCGTCCAGCGGTTCTGCAGCAGGAACGCGACCAGCGCGTTCACCTGCAGCCCCCCCCGCTCCACCTGTGCCGTGCGAATGACTGAGGAGTTCGTCCCCGCCAGCTTATTCGTCCAGACGATGTCGTCGGCGCTCGCGTCCACGATCGCCCGCTTGTAGCTGTCCGTCACCCGCGCCTCGTGCGTCGCGAGAAAGCGAGTGCCGAGCTGGCAGCCGGCGTACCCCATGTCGAGAGCGTCGCGCAGCCCCTGCGGGTCGCCCCCGACGCCGCCCGCCTGCAGGAGAGGCAGGTCGCCGAAGCCGCCCTTGGAGAGCTCCGCCGCAAACTGCTCCGCAGACCTGGGTCAGAGTGCTGGGTTAGAAGGGTCTGCGGTCAGGGTCAGGTTAGGGTTAGGGTTAGGGTGAAAACAGACCGATTGCCGGTCTGGCCTCCCATCGAGCTGTTGAGGCAGTTCAGGCCGGCGACGCCCTCGTCGGCCACCTTTCGAGCGACTTCAGGCGT